AAAAAAAAAAAAAAAAGACTGCCCCCGCCATTCCAGTTAAGAACAGTTGTGCCATCCTGTACCCCTCTGCAAGCACAAGTACTCTGTGTGCTCATTTACTTCCTACTTACTACTACTTACTTTTCCATCATCATGCACACACAGCTGCTGCATGCAAGTTTGCAGCAGTGCACACCTCACTGTCTGCTAAAATCTCCTGCAGAGGTACATGCCATTCCCAAGAAACAGCCCCTTAACCCAGCCCTCTGACTTTCTCATACAGAAACATTATTCATTTTCTTCTGAGAGTTTTCCCCTTAGCATGATAGTGGTGAACATCTGAGGAGCACTTGGAAGGAGAGAGAACAGTAGACAGAATGCTTAAAGCTTCTGCTCTCAAGCTCCAGGAGCAAAAAGGGCAAGAAGAGAAACAGGGCAGCCTTTAAGGTGGCCTATTTGGCTTGGGAAGTGTCTGTCATCCAGGCCTCTTGTGGGAGAGTGTGCTTGTCTGAGCCCTGCCGAGTGCTGGGCACTCCTGTGTAGATTCATGGAGCCTGAGCCACAGAATAATTCCAAAGATCCCGGAAGGACTCAGGAGGCAGGAAAGACAGCTCTAGTCCACACGGTCACTGTGCTGTGCCCCTGGGCCTGCCTAGCACTGAAGGAGAGGTTGGGAGAAGAAAGATGGAAGATGGACTGTATGTGAGTCAATTTCCCATCACTATAAGAAGGTATATGGAGGTTGTATAAGGAAAAGAGGTTTAATTTGTCTCAGTGCTGAAGGTTTTAGTCCATGATTGGATGGCCTTGCTGCTCTGGGCCTCTGGTGAGTCAGTGAGGCACACTGGAGCAAAACCACCTACATCATGGCCAAGACACTAAGGATTGGGTAGCAAGGTCCCATTGTCCCCTCCAAGGGCACGACCTCAATGACTTAATGACCTCTGCCACTTTCTAATATCTCCAAGCTGGGACCAAGCCACTGAGGGATTTCCAGGCCCCCACTGCAGCAGATAGGGAAAGAAGACTACCTACACACAGTCTAGACCATGGCTTGAAGAAGGAGCCACACCACCAATACCAGGCTGGTTGTGAGGATGAGTGGCTGTCAAGAGCACTGCAGCTGTCATTTGAAGTGTTCTTACTTTCTTGGACAGCGTCTTGCTTGAATCCTCTAAGGCAAGCAGCCTGCTCAGCCTCCTCATACTGATGAGAGGAAGCTGAGGGTCAGCAACAGCGGTGTGCGCCCTTGGAAGTCACGTGCCAGGGACTGGGGAGCCGGTGGGTGTCTCCAGAGCTCAGGATGGCATGCAGCAAGAGGTAGGCACAGCCACAGAGGATCAGGCCCAGGTATAACGCATTAGAGGAGGAAGGAGGTACTGCTCAGTGGCAAAACCTCTTGGAGGACAGGAGCCACTGTCCTCCACGCCCTATGCAGCCCCAAACTTGATGACTCAAGGTGAGCAGTGCCCCACTGCCAGTCTGACTCCGTGCAGAAGCACTTATGCTCACACACTTGTGATCCTTTGAGGTGGTACACTTTCCAGCTAGTCATTTGCTTTGCACGTGCATGATCTTACCTGATCCCCAGGCGACTGTGCAGTAGGGAGTCGAGTCGAGGTAATTAGATCACCTCAGGCAGGAGAGCTGCAGTAGGACCCAGGAACTCCGATGTCCACCGCTGGTCCTGACTCCCCATGCAGGCCCTTTCCTCTCCAGCCCTCCAGGGACTGCTCTTGTCTCTCTGGCCTGCACTTCACTTCCTCCCCACACATTGCAGCAGAAAGGGTAGGGCCTGAGCTGCTTTGCTCACCTAGAACCTGAGCAGCCATACATGGGAGCCTGGGTTGTGTTAGCTGGAAACCCGGCCTGGGCCAGGCCCGCCCACCATCTGCGGCAGCTTGTAGTCTTTAGTCAGCACAGCCTCTTCTTCAGACTCTCCAGACAGACTGCCTGCCGGGCCCCCACCAGCGCCCTGCCCACCTGGCTGTGCAAATGAGCTCCATGCTTGCGCGCATGCTCCGTTTGTCCTCCAGCAGCTGAAGATGCTTGGCCTCCGAGACCCTTCTCCTCTCCTCCCCTCTTCCTCCATCCTTCCTCATGGCCCAGCCGCTCCCAGCCCTGTACAGACTGCTTCCTGGGGGAGAGCAAGCACAGGAAGCTGGGCAGTGTTCGAGGAAGTGGCTCGGAGCTGCTGGAGCCACCCGAAGGCCCAAGGCTGGGTGGGTTCCCCTGCCACACACGAACCTCCACCCAGCAGAGGCTGCAGGGAAGGGAAGGAACAGCTTGGAGACAGCAGATCGGGCCCACCGTGCCCTTGAGAGGTGATCTCAGGCAAAGCCACACCAGTTTGTTTCTCATCACTGCTCTGCCTTTAGCTCTTCATCTGCACGAGAAGCACAGACATACTTACCTGGCACCTCTCGTGCATGCATGTCCTGAGCACCTACGGATGCCAAGCCCTCTGGTGTGAGACAGGAGGGATGCCCTGGATAAACCCTTCGAGCTTTGCTCTCTGAGGGCTTCCTGTGTGGTTCTCAGAAGACTGAGTGCCTCCAACTGGACGCGGCCTGACGTTTTGGCACCCATGGGATCACTCCGTGAATGTCTGTGGACTCGGTGTGGTCAACACCTGCCCCTCTGCTCAGGGCTGCTCTGAAGAGCTAATGACATGGTACGGGATGAGCATTTTGCAAACCATAAAGGGACTGTACGGGTGTCAGAGATGATTTGATTGTGGCTGAGTCAGAGCAGTGCAGCTCCCACGGGGAAGAGAGAGGTGTGCTTCTCCACGCGTCTGGCAGGGAGTAGGTGCTTGCCGAGGACAAGCTCAGGAGCAGGAGCCTTTGCAGGCACCCCACAGGGAAGCCCTGGGGCTGCTGCCAGCAGTGCCTGCTTCAAGGGAACCCCGGGCTCCCTCAGCAGAAGCTGAACCAATCACACGGGGAGGCAGGCAGTCCGTGCAGGCAGTGTCCCTCTTACTTCAGAAATCGCAGTGCTTCTAACTCCGATAAGGAAAAGTAATTTTCTTCTCCTGGGTTTAGTCTGACTCTTGCCTAAACATGTGAATCTCTGACTTAGACCCAGGATCATCTGGAGCATGATTTGCATCTCTCCATTTGTGTCCGCTCCCTCTACTGCTCTGAGGCCAAGAACTTTTATCATTTTCGAAAAGGTCAACACGTCTACACTCAGCTATTGTGAAAGTTTTGAAATTCTCTAACCTCCTTCCAAGCCTCTCCATCCAGGGGGCTCACATTCTTTCTTGCTGAATTCCTTCCTCTTTGATGAATCACCAAGCTGAGAATTTAATATTTTCCCATTTTCTATGCCCTGGGCAAATATTAGTGAGTAGCCCTGGATTGATTGACTGGTTGATTGATCAGTTGATTGATTTTTGGCGACTTCTACCTTCTTGTTCTACAGAGCACTTCATTTCCAGTGATGAGATCACCACTCTGAAAGTACTAATCAGCACCAAAAGGCCAAGAAGAGTGGATGAGATTTCTAGGGCTGCCTGAGAAATTGCTTTGCCAAAGACACACAGGCACACACTTAGACCCACCAGAAAGCCTTATAGAACTATCTGAGGAACAGCTAGGACCTGGGTTTGTCCTCTCTCTGTGGGATGCGGTGGGCTCTCAGATCACCCAGAGGCATATGGTCCTCAGCACTGAGGAAGCACTTGGCAGGGGCTCCAGGAGCATCAGCTAAATCAGTTGGGCCAAAAGGGGCCCATGTATAAAACAGGTCTGAGACTCTCCCCTGCTGCTTCCAGTGTTGTGTTCCATTTATTTAATAACCATAGAGGCTGATGTTGTACCCAGCACTGTGCCCAGGCTTAGGCCTGAACATAAGAGGGATTTATTTTATTATGGCATCAATTTATATTATAACCCCTCACCTACTCCTCATCCCCCTTCCTTAGCCACCTTTCCTCAAAGAATTGACCAGCAGAGATTTTCCTCTTGAGTACCCTGCAAAAGCCACCACCTCCCCCAGATTAGTACTGTCCTACAGTCAATGCAGTCCCTCAAAGAGCATTCACAGAACCACGGTGCTCAAGGCTGGCTGTGCTTCAGAATTATCTGTAGAGCTTCTAAGGCATTCAAGCAACACTCTGATTTCATAGGGCAGGGTTACAGCCAGACACCTGCCCAGAATTTCTGCCTTCTGCTCTATCTCCCAACAGAATCTCTCTCTCCCTCTCCCTCTGTGTGTGTATGTGTGTGTGTGTGTGTGCGCACACACACACAGGGGAGACTTTTGCCAGAGCCTGAGAGATGGAATACCCACCTCTTCCCCAGCACTGATTGAGACCTAAACACGTAGAAAGTGAACAGAAGTCGAAGGAGTAGACAGAATACTAGGCTGGAAGTCAGAAGATCATTTCCAAAAGTCCAGCTGTTCATTTGTTAACTATGTGGCCTCGAATATATCACTCCACCTCCTAGGGTCTTCAGGTGTAGGTTCCACAGGCAAATCATGAAGAGATCTACAACTCACTCCAACTCTGCTCTTTGACAAGGCGAACAGCAAATAGTTACTCATACTCCTCAAGAAGAATGGAAAGAGAATTGCTAACTTCCTCATGATCTAATTGCAGACATCAAGGCAGAATTTAAATACCATTCTCCAAGGAATGTAGGTCAGAAAGCCTCTAAACTCAGGAAAACAAGAAAACGCTCTCCCTCCTAGGATCTTCCACACACAATAGGAGCTCAGTCACAGACCCCATCAGTGCTGTAAGACTATTGCAATGACACTACATTTGGTTTCACCAGGATCCCTATTGCTCGCCAGAGTCATAAGAAGGGGTGTGACTGGCACTGCTGGCCTGCTCCTCATTATCGTGAAGACCAAGTACTCCTCTATGTTAGCATAGCCTCTGAGTCAGAACTGAGAGCTTCTGGAATGGAAATACTTTACTTTTTCTGTTCTTGCTTTGCAGGGCCTTGGTGGACCAGATGACCGACACCATCCAAGAGCACTGGGAGCTGAAGAGCTCTCTCGAGTGGATAAGGAGAGGAGTGATGGTTTTCTGGGGAAGATAGCAAAGGCAGTTCCCCCGCAGCCCAGAAAGTCACCCCTGTCAATCCAGTGTCCAGCCGCAGTGCCGTACTGGAGAGCAGATGACTGCACTTGAGAGGCTGAGTGGAGATAGGATGTGTTTCTCCCTCTTGTCCATCTCTAGTTTGTTCTTTCACTGAGAATAAAAACTTGATATGGAGGCTCAAAGAAGAAAGAAGCTCTGGACTCATCTGTTCCCAGGAGACACCCAGGCTGGTCAGCTTGCAAAGGCTGATGCAGGGCAAGAAGGGTCTCCAGCAAGACTGGTGGGGAGGCCAGCTCCCCACACGAGCTGAGGTCCTTGAGTCTGAAACAATATGCTTCCTGTAGCCACCTCAGGCAACATTGTCTCAGGTGCTTATTTTCTGTGGCCAATGTGAACAGGTCACAGGACCTGACACCCGCATGGGGAGGGCAGTGTGGCCGCATCCCTCCTGAGCCACACTCTTCTCTTAGAATTCACTGAGGTCCTTGCTACCTGGTTTTCTATCCCCACGGTGGCCAGGAAAGGCCTTCACAGAGGACAGAAAATGCCAGGATTTGCCAGCCATTCAGACGCAGCCAGCCTTTAACGATGAGAGGTGACAGGGCAGGCATGTGGCCTCTTTCACCTATTGTGCACTGATCTTTGTTGGAGATTTGGCCGTACTATACCTCTGGGAAAGATAGCTATTTCTGCCCCTGCAGATGGAGCTACCATGGTATAGAAAGAAAATAACTTGGTGGGGCTAAAAGCAGATATGGAGGGACTAAGACCAAAATCGCTACCTTTCCCAGTTCAGGTTTCTCATTAGCACCTCACAAAATCTTCCTAAGCTGGGAGGGGCATGGACGAAGAAGGTGGGGGTGGGAGCTACTCTGTAGCACCCCCTCTTGTTTTATAGCTAGGCCCCCCAAGCCTTCTGCATTGCCCAGAAAATATATTCCAACTGTGCCCCTGGATCAAAGCCTCTTAAACCTGGCCCGTATGACTATCCAAACATGTCTCCCATCACTTGGCATGAACATGAACGTGCTTTCAAAGCCCGGCACATCCCACCATGATCCAGGCCTTGCTCACACTTCCAACCCTCTGATTCCCCTCCCCTATTCAGCACGTGCAGGAATTTTGCTCCCTGTGCCTCCAAGCCAAGCTCCAAGCAGCATGTAAAGACCCACCTTTTCCAAGATGTGTTCCCTAACCACTCTGGCTGATCCGTCTCTGCTGCATCTCTGAAATACTCTTATTCATGCTGTTTACAATCCTTAGCGCAGGAACTTAAGGTCTTGATATTATTGCACCATTAGTTTCACAACTCCTATTAGGCTTCCAACTTTGAATGTGAGAAACTAAAATATACTGTGGATTTTTCAAGATACATCTTATGTGGCCAAGAGTCTGAGCAGCTTCCCCGTCTGGAATTTCTGCACTAAGTCAGGGTGTAGTGCAGGGTAGGCGCAGCACTGGAGTGGAGGTCCCACCTGAGCTTCACGTGCACTTCAGTCTTGCCTGAGCTCTTTGATACTGAGCTGCCCGACTTGTTTCCGGGTATATATCTGATGTGTCCCTGTACAAATCTATAATTGCCATTTGCTTAAGCTGCAGAAGTGCCTGTCACTCTCTTAAGTTGCCTGGCTTGTAACCTGCACAGCCACATCTAGGAGTGCCATTCATCCTCCAGCATCCAACTTTCAGTAGCCCTTCATCCATGGCCACCAGGAGAAAAGATCACACAGAGGATGAGCTGAGCTTGGAGTTTCGTTGAAAATTCAGCATGTGGCCTGGGAAAGAGCCAGCATGTGGTCCCTGGCATTCTGTAGCTCATGTGCCAGCAACAAGGCTCAACCATCCTCTGGCATCTGGCTGTGCCTCTCTCTCCCTCCTTACTGTGAAGAAATTCTGAGCAGAACTTGAGCTGAGCCAAAGGACAAACCACATTTCTGATGCCTGGGATTATGACAACTGTCACCATCCATTTGAAACTTCGGGCCGCAGGTCTTAAAGTCTCCCGAATTCCAAGCGACTACCCAGCACCACCACAGTCCCTCATTTTCTCTGACACAGAGAGCACCCTGACCTCGTGGACTCCCACACATTTGTGGGAAGCACAGCTCGGAGGGACTGAGCCTGTAGTCATTCTATTAAGAGTTTCCAGACAGTGCGTAAGCATGGGCGATTCTGCAGCGGGCAGGAAATTATCAGTAGAAGTGGAAGTGACAGGGTGTTTAACAAACATTAAACCAAAGGAGCTTAAAAGGTCTTTGAGCATTGTTAAACAAACATTTTGGATGACTGAGAGGGCAGAATATGAAATGGAAAGGAAAGCATAAACACTTTCTGTGGGTGGGAGAGGCTTTGCCATTCTCCCATCCTGGTCATAAGGCTGTACCGAGAGGGCGCTTTACACAGCTCCAGAATACATACAATAACAGTACCCTTTGTAAGACACAGCACCACTCAGAGCGTCAGAGAAAAGGAACGGAGAAGCGGCCCAGGTCCAAGATGCCCCCACAGGGACAGCAGGCTTAGGGCAACAGGCAAACCAACATGGGACCAAACAGACCCAGTGGAGTGGCACACTGAGCACCAAACAGCTCACTGACACTGAAGAGCCACTCCCAGGACTCTCACAGGGAGCCCTCAAAATAGTCAGGTAAATCTTTACATAAAGAACTCTATTAAGAACTTTGTTACATTGTCATTCATCTGCCTCCAGATTCTCCCCCTACTTTGGACACTTGTTTCCCACTGTTCTTGCAATTTTCTGAAGCGGTTCTGGAGGTCCTCATTTTTTTAGTGTCTTTACGAGTTGTGATCAAAAATCAGTAAATGCTGCTGCTCCATGGGATTTAAAGCATTACAATGCACCATCTTCACCCACCTTACGCACTAGATCTTGTGACTTCTGGTTCATCTCCATTTCTTTGAAATGACCATCAAGACAAAGGTTCTGAATCATTCAGAACAGCACAATGGACACATGAGAGAGGACTTCCGGAGCTGCTTCACAAAGTAGCAACAGTGATAAGATCAGTGTGTTTGGAGCCAGAGGGAGTATGCTGAGGAGAATTAATGACTACATGTCTTTTACTGTAACTGATTTTTAAATTTTAAACAATCTTTATATTTTTGATCACCCCTTGCATTCATACTCAAGAAGGAACCGAGGCTGAAAGGGGTGAAGGTCCTGGGGTGAGCGGCAGGGCCAGGAGGAGCTCAGCACACGAGCCCCAGTGCCCACTTTGGCAGCACCACCAGCTGAGTTTCCATGAAATGCCAGTCCCCCCTGGGGAACAACTCAAAGAAGAACGAAACCTGGGAGATAGGGGCACATAGGGAGCCCAAGCCCAAAGTAACAAGATCAATGAACAGAAGGACAAGAGCACTGACGGAGGAGACCATAGACCTGGAGGACTTCACGGCACACAGCCTCTGCGGCCCCTCCTCCCCTCTTCCCAGCAGCTCCTCTGCAGTGGGTTGATTTCTTGCCTGGCACCAGTCATGAAAGAAAAGGGCAGTGGGGAGCAAGGTTGAGTCAGGAGGGGAGGCTGACTTATTGTCCCAGGGGCAACTGCTGATGATTCATCATCAGCAGAGAATTTGGAAGCCAGTCTTCGTTTTCTACCATGTAGACACAAGTTGGCTAGATCTTCCTGGTGCTTTATTTGTTCCTGATTTCCATGGGAAGGTGCTGGTGGGCATGTTTGCCTAGGACAACCCCTCCACAGAACACGTATGTGCACACACATGCGCACACACACTATCCTCCCCCAGACAACTGGCTGGCCCAACACCAAAAATTGCCACAGGCTTGCCTCCCAGCAGGGACCTTCGACTATGCCTTCCAGCTCTAGCAACTGGAAATTGAGCAACACCAAGACAGGCAAGTCGAGTCAATAAATAATGACTTAATAAGTGCGAGAAAAACAAAAGAGCCAGATGCATCTGGCAGCATCTTTCCAGAGCCAAAATAATAGGCCATGCCATTGCCTCTGTGTACAAGCTTACTCTATATCCTTGGCTTCTGCACCACCTCCCTCCTCAGAGCTGCCCCTAGGTTCCCCATGAAGAAGTAAGAAGCAGTAGCTGTCAGTGCCCAATCTGCCCTGTCTGACGTTCAGAGCTGGCCAGCACCCTGCTCTTTGTCACCTCTCTATCTTTTTTCTCCTGGCTCCAGATTTCTTCCATATCTCCAGGGTCTTCCATTTCTGGCTTCTCACAAAGTGCTCCCATCCTTCCAAGCCCTTCTTCATTTCCCTCTTTACAAGTCAGAGCCCTGATTTTCCAGCTAGATCTTGGCTTCCTCCTTTAGTGGCAAGTGAATTAGTCCTTATTCCTCACTTAGACCCTCTGTCCTTGGGATCAGAGATTGCAGCTGCCGTTTCTTTACCACTTGGCACATAGGGAATGCTCATTAGTTGGCCTGGAAAGGAGCATCTATCCTGTTGATAATAAAGTCAGGCCAGCAGCAAGCACTGCGACTGGCTGGCAGCTGCTGGCTCTCACTGGACAGGTTGTTCCAAGGCCAAAGTGAACATATTCCAGAGACCCAGGGACCAAAGCTGGGCACCTGTGCAAATCGGCAACAGTCTCTGACCTGTGTCTGTTGCATTGAACTAAACCCCAGTGACACAAGGAAAGGGGAGAAGAATTAGAAAAGAGCCCTCACTGTTACATGTTGAATCAGTTATGCAATTCCATAAACAAGATTCAATCTTCTCCAAATCAAAGCTATTTTTATAGGATAGTATAAGGATGCAAAAGAATTTGTACCATCTGTGTGAGTACAACTATTGGCAGGGCCTGTCTGAAGCCTTCAACATGTGCATTTGCTCCCAAGGGTTAGGTCTCGCAACTCTCATTTTTCTGTAATATAATTAACTATTTTATGTGTGAGGCACTTTCCATAGCTGTGGGCTGAAAACCCAGTTCTGACCT